ACTGTAGTATATAAAATTCCACGAATTCATGGAGATTTTTTTTTCAAATTGATATGTGACTATAATGAAACAATATTCAACTTATCACGTACACAAATACAAATACATATTTGAATATAAATATCAAATATATTGGTACAGGTGCGATAAAGGTGCGGTTTTGTTTCATCCTTTTCATGAAAGAGGACGTATGCTTCTCCACTCACAAGCGATTTTGGTGAAATTTGTGACACGTGTGAATTGTTTTATTTATGCCACGTGCCTATATGCTCAGTATGCTGTATAATGCCCTCTGTAAGTAGTCCCACTGTGATCCAAAAGTGCATATAGATTATAACAACAAGTAGCCATATTTTCTGCTGCAAAATGGTCCATATCCAATCCTTCTAGAGAAAATTCGATGACAACATTCAATTTGCCTCTGAATCTTTTCATTGGAGAGACTATTTTCAAATGAATTACTAAAATATGGAAAAACTTGTGGATTGATAGGGACTTTATGCATTTTCTCCTTTCTTTGCATTTCAAACACGTCGGTTTTTCATTTCCATCCAAAGTTTCTTCTCTTGTGAACGAATCCAAGCATTGCTACAAACTCAATTGGTCGGTTCTTTCTGGTATGGAGAGAGACAAATCCAGAAAGGATCAAAGGTTACTGATGAGTGTCCACAGTGTGTGCATTTCATCATGCATTTCAATTGACCAACGAAATTATCTTAGAGATAAGCATCCTCAATTATGTGAGCCATGACTTTTGTGTATTTCCGCTGTCGCCTGATTTTTCCTTAATCTCCGTTGCTACTCTATCAAATTAATTTTCAGACCACAACTCCTTGATGACTTCTGCAAATGCGTTGATTAAAGCACCCTCCATACTAGAAATACTATCTGACATGATATCTTTCATGAATTCATCCTCTTTCAAATATTCCAATAACCATCTCGTGTTTGATAAACATTGGATTATGTTGTTCCTGAAACAGGTATTAATAATAATAATAATAATAATTGGAAGTCGTCCAATCGCTTTCCGAATCGGAAGGACGAAATCCCGGCCTTGCGTTTCGGAGGATTGAACGACGTGTACACAAGATGGAGGCTAAGATCACATCGGCGAGACAACACGCGTCTCGTATCCAATGTGTGATGGATTACAGGGCGGCCAACAGGCCTTTCACGCCCGCAGTGCGGCGAATAGCCGCCAATCTACGACGTATCCATCACACTTTAAGCCAAGGCGTGCTGCTGACCACCAAACAGCACTGCCTTGATAGGATACGAATGCTAGTGGCTGCTAAGAAGTCACTAGTGAGGCGAGCGAGAAGTATCGCGGAAAACCTTAGGTTCCGCGAGAAACCTTCTCGCTTATTCCAAGAGCCTCCACGTGTTGTGGATAATCCGCCGACCGCTGATCAGGTGGAATCCTTCTGGAAGGATATCTATGAACACCCGCAGCCACTCAACTTAGACACTCNTAAAGTTGGATCTTCAATCCATTCGGCGTTTTCATTCCTTATTGATATGTTATTGTGAACCTTTACTTTGTTTGAGAGTTCCGATATAACCTGCCATGCTGATTTTGTGGGGTTATCTGAGTTGTCAATTAAAATGAATCTCACTTAGCCTACTGACTATTCAATGATACATTCAAAAGGTACATAACTTACTTTATTGAAATAAAAACATGAATAATGAAATTCTCAACCCATAGGTCAAGGCTGAAAAGTCCCAGGTCTTAGAAAGAAAACAAGTTTTTTGTCCAAAATTGGTTTTATTCATCAACGTAATCTTCATCAAAAACCACACAATCATTCCCGCGCCGCTCTAACATTTCAATACAACGTTTGTAGAACGATTCGTCTTTTGCCCAAAAGGGCCTCAGTTTCAGCAATAACCTCTGCATTTGAGAGAAATTTTTTTACCGGCCTTAGAAAGAAAACGCGTTTTTCGTCCAAAATTGGTTTTATTCATCAACGTAATCTTCATCAAAAGCCACACAATCATTCCGGCGCCGCTCTAACATTTCAATACAACGTTTGTAGAACGATTCATCATTTGCCCAAAAGGGCCTCAGTTTCAGCAATAACCTCTTCTTTCGAGAGAAATTTTTTACCGGCGAGCATTTTTCTGAGGTCTGCGAACAGTCAGTAGTCGCTGGGAGCCAAATCTGTCGAATATGGTATATGCGGGAGCAATTCGAAGCTCATTTCATGCAATTTTGACATCCTTTCTATTGATTTGTGACACAATGAATTGTCTTTATAGTAGGCACCACTTTTTTCTTCAAATTAGGTCGTTTTTCCGAAATTTTGTCCTTCAATCGCTCCGATAACGCTATATAATATTCACTGTTGATAGTTTCTCCCTTCTCAAGATAGTCGATGAATATTACACCACGAATATTCAAAATACCGATGCCATAACCTTTCCAGCCAATTGTGCTTTCGGGCGCTTTGAACGAGGTTCACCAGTTGCTCTCCACCCAGATGAGGATCGTTTTGATTCCGAAGTGAAGTGATGGATCCATGTTTCAACCATTGTCACATATCGACACGAAAATCCTAGTTAGTGATATTTAAACAAGGCCAAACGCTACTCAGAACCATCAAGACGTTCTTGTTTTTAGTCAACAATGAGCCTGCGCGGCACCTACTTTGAACAGAGCTTTCTCATAGTCAAATGTTCATGTAATATAAAGTCAACATGTTCTGATGATATTTTTGCAATGTCGGCTAACTCACGCATTTTCACTTTCCGGTTATTTGAAATTTTGTGAATTTTCTTATGTTCTCTGGTGTTACTGCCTCATTTGGACGTCCACTGCGTTCTGCATTATCGGTGTCTTTACGACCACGTTTGAAGTAAGCAAACTAACTTTTAATTGTTGTTTCTGATGGAGATGAGTACTCATAACACTTTTCAAGCCATTGCTTCGCTTGAAGCAGTGTAAAATCAAAACACGAAGCTGGTTTTGATCCATTGTTTTGAAAATAACAAAAATGGTGTTACATTAACTCGCAAACTTATAAGTAGGATATCATTGAATTTCAACAGCTTCCTTTTGAACGTTAGTACTAATTGGAAAAGCGGTGAATGCAATGAGACTGGCATCTATCAGACACAGGAAATCAACAACTTCGAAAAAAAATACAAGAAGATGATCACCAAGAGGAAGATAAAACATCTTCCTTCATTGAAGATGATCACTTGGTGATCGAAACACGTGTCGAGGTGTAAAAATAACGATTTGGTGTTGGGAAAAAACTCCAGTAATATTCATTACTACACCAAAGGTTCCAAACAGTACATCACANACATCGCTTCTGAGTAAAGATGAAAACTTTCATAACCTTAAATGAAATCTCACAAAACTAGGTTTTGGTTCATTATTACTACTTTGAATCTATGAAAATGCTTCCAAAAAATAGACTTCAAGAAAAATGTATTCGACAAAGATTGAATTTTTCCTGAACATTCCAGCACAATTCTCATAAACTGTAGTATCTTGATATCAAAGTGATATATCATCTCCTGATTTTGTCCCACCACGGACCATTCTTTTTCCAAAAGTCGAACCACAGCTGAGCTAAAACATAATATCGTAAGTCCATCCACATATACTGCAAGAACACATGATGAAAACATTGGAGACGTTATTGTATAAGTACTGGTGTTGATACAAAAAACATTTTCGAAATGCTCATTCATTTTTTATTTTGAGATCGATATCCCTTTTTTATCTTAGTTCAAAAATGAGATTTTCCCAATTGAATATTTTGTCAACAATCGAAGGTTTCGAATATTGAATATAAAATTCCTCTTGTCTGCTATTTTCTCCATTCGTTCTCAAATTTATTTCCATATCTGATATTGATTTCATACAGAAATACAGATTTCATTCATTCCAGATTCTTAGAAAACTACCAGCTGGAGGTGAAGATGCCTGAGCTAGAGACGAAGGAATCAGAACTGGTAGAAGAAGGCCGTAAAAGAAAAAACAGGCGACGTGGTGGAAATGAGGCTATGTACTGGGCCCTTGCAATAAAAGGTGTCTTCCTAGCTGTTGCATACAAAGGCATAGCCATTATGTCAGGATTATCGTTGATAATGGGAAAAATGGCACTATTATTGACTGTAATACTCGGATTGAAGAAGTTAGTGAGCAGTGGTCAGGAGACAACAACATTTGAAATAATCAAGCAACCCAAGTACAGTGAAAGTCATTCGCATTCCGTATCATTTGAAGATGAGGAAAAGTATCATCACAGGGCTTATGATATAGGGGTTAATGAAGCTTTATAAAATTTCCAGAAATGACTTTTTAATATTATTTATTGTTTACAAGAATGATACTCCGCTTGTTATCGGTTTGTATTACTTCACATGAAAGCCGAGTTTTAGTTGAAACAAATTGATTAAAACACTATTGGGTTTTGCTCTACAGAAGTATTTTGAGGAAGATGGGAGTTTGAAGTTATCAGATGGTAAAAAAAAACTGAAATGTAACATGAGATTTCGAACAATGTTTTACTGGGAATGTGCCAATTCCAAAGATACCTCTATAGAACCTGATACAGAAGTAGGAACCGGCAAATTCCTGGCGGGGAATAATTACTTTCCTTGCTGTACTCCTAACGATCCCAGAATCATATTCAATCAATCAATCAATCAAAATATGCTTTATTATCAAAGAATAACATCTTGTTGACAAAGCCTGTATAAATAAAATGAATTGAATTAAATCATATGAATAACATTTAGATGATTATCTACTTAGTATACATAGTAAACGTAGTCACTACTTTATAAAATTGAATTGTTAAAAAGCAATGTTAAAATAAAATAAACAATAGTAGGTATATGATAACGAAATGTAAAGTTTTGGTATATTTATTATTAGTCTATTATATCCGCATAATATTCTTCCAAACTATAATAGGTTCTATCGGCAAGAACTCATTTTGAAGCTTTTCTGAAGCCAGTGTTGGACCGTATATTTTTGATATAATTTGGAAGGTGGTTGTACATCTTGCAGCCTTATATATAATGGAGTCCTTAACTAGAGTGGAATATGGTAAAGATAGTTTGATATAGTCACTTTGGCGGGTGGCATATCTATCATATGTAATGAAATTTTGTTTATGTTCATAAATGAGACACACTGTTTCAAGTTTGAATATACACACTACCGTGAGAAGGTTATATTGTTTGAAGTGAACTCTACACGAATCGCGAAATTTTAATTCACAGAGGTATCTCAGGGCTCTTTTTTGTAAAACAAAAACACTTTGAAGAACATTTCCACTGCACACTCCCCAGAATGGGATACCATATCGCAAATGTAACTCTAACAAGGAGTAGTATACTGACTTTGCGATTGTGTAACCTAGTTCGTTTGCAGCAATTTTTACAGCGTAACAACCTGAGGATAATTTTTCATTCAAGTTTTTGACATGTTCATTAAATTTGAGACCGTTGTCAATGTATAGTCCTAAAAATTTAGAAAACACACTGTTTTCAATGATCTGGTGGTTGATAGAAATATCAGATACTGCGCATTTGAAGGACACTATCTTGGTTTTTAATATATTGAAGGATAAAAGGTTTGAATCGCACCACTCTTTAACCTTTATTATATCTGAATTGATGATCTGTTGAAGATCGGCTTTCTTATCTTTATAGTGGTATCATCGGCAAATAGTGTGAAACTTCCTGAAATGTCAAGCATCGTCAAGTCATTGACATATAGTAAAAACGAAATTGGACCTAAGACTGATCCTTGCGGAACACCACATTGTATATTACGTAAGCTTGACATTGTTTTTGTTTTTACTACTTATGTGCGGCCAGATAAATATGTCGTAAACCATGAATGTGCCTTATTTCTAAATCCGTAATGGTGAAGCTTTCGCAGCAGTATCTCATGATTCACACAGTCAAAAGCTTTCGATAAATCACAAAACACAGCCGCCGCAACTTCCCCATCATTGATTCCAGTATATATTCCATATAAAAGTGAAAAAATTACATCATTTGTGTTCTTATTGCACTTAAATCCAAACTGTTTGATGCTCAATATATCACACGCCTGCAAAAAGTCAAACATTCTTTTCTTAACGAGTCTTTCGATAATTTTGGCTAACGTAGGAATGAGTGAAATGGGCCTAAAATTCCTAGGAGAGCTCACTTCACCACCTTTAAAGATCGGTATGACAATTGATGTTTTGAGAAACTGTGGAAATATGCCTTCTTTGAAGGACCCATTTATCAGAGATACTAGATGGTTCAGAGCATTATCTGGAAGATTTTCAAAGATCCTAACAGAAATGTCATCAAATCCTGTTGCGGTTTTATTTTCAATTTTATGTAACGTTTCTTTCATTTCATCAATATTAGTGTCATACAAGATTAGGTTTTCATTAAAATTGAAGTTTGCTAGATTTATTAGTGGATCATAAGCTACGGGTATATTTTCTGTCAATTCATCTGCAACTGAAGTATAATACTCATTTAATGTGTTCGGATTCAACTCCAAATCTACTTTCTTTTTGAGTTTTTTTTTCTAAAAGATCATTTACTATCTTCCAACTCTCCTTTGAATTGTTGGTGGAACTGTCAATGCGATTTTTATAATAATTTTCCTTTGCTAACTTTATCAACTTTCGATATACTGATCTGTATATATTGTAGTAGTTATGGAAAGAATCTGTATTTGTATATTTTCTGATATAATTCAGAGATCTCATATTTCTTGCAGTATAATTGAAGAGTTCAAGAAGTTGATTGTGGAAAACTGGAAATCTTTCTTTTAATGTTGTAGGTGATTCCCAATTCGTTTGCTGACATTTCAAATAGAACCTATCGTAGTTGGATATAGTATATAGCCTAACATATTTATATATTTCACTTTTGCATTATTGTGCAGAAAACAGCCTCATGGTCAGAGAGACCTGCAGATACATTCGAACATGTGACTTGATTTGAATCTAAGTTACTGCATATGTAATCTATAGCAGTACTACTGTATTGTGATATTCTGGTATTCGATTTCACATTCACTGTCAAATCAAAAGCAGTCAAGAGGTTAATCACTGACTGGGTGATATAACTCTCTTTATCATTGAAATTGATATAGATATCACTTGTGGCTATTATTTTGCATTTCATAGGGAGATCGTTCAAAATTGACTCCAATTCGTTTATAAGAATATGAGGGTCTGATACCGGTGACCTGTAAATGCATAATATGTACGAATTGATTTTCTTACTGAAACTTATGGAAAATTCGAATTATTTTTCTTGTAGTATATAATCAAATTTGGTGATGTTGGTTAAATGTAATTTATCATTTAAAGAGGTTTTTCCCAATATCAAAGTTCCGCTATGAGTTGCTGTTTTTCTAATATATTTCGAAATAACGTTATAGTTTGGTAAATAAATAGGCTCATCATTTTTGAGCCAGTGTTCAGTTAATATTACTATTTTTGGAAAGTCCAAACTTTCTAGGAATATATACAACTCATCCAATTTATTTCGGAGAGATTGAATGTTCAGTAAAACAATAGACAACGCGCTATTACCTAATAATTCCGTTTGTCTAAAAAACGTTTTCGATGGGAAAGTTCTGGTACCTTGGTATCGGTTTTGTAGTTTTGTAATTCTTCAAGTGAAGTTATTGGACATTCTTCGTCAGACGCTGCTATTGGCGAGGATTCGAGGGATGACATCTGTACCAATCCAGGGTAGGAAATCAAATTAAAATTGTTTTCTTTGCTGCTGCTTTCCTCAGTAATTGATTTATGACAATGATCAAGTGTATTCATGTAACTCAGTAAAGCATCACTAAGAAATAGTTTACCGGTATTATTAATGGTATATCTTTTTTTATTGTAATTTGTTCTTCTTAGTTACATATTATTATTATATTATTACATTCAAGGAGAGTGATGTTCTGCAGCCCACTGCAGAACATCACTACAACTACAACTTACGATTTGATCTCTACAAACTCTCTACAACTCACGATTTGATCTCTACAAACTTCTTTGTGGCGACCAAATCGTGAGTTGTAGTTTATGAAATCTATTGGATATAATTCAATGTTCATCATGTACGCTGGGAAGTAGTTATTTTCCGGCAGTTACTTACCAGATTCCACTAAACTATAATTCCAAAATAATAGGCACTGAGTTCTCAGAAATGACTGACGTTTTTGGCTTGATCTGTCTGTTGTGTTGGCACATGGAAATTATAAAATACAGATGTAGAGTAATTATGATAAAATATCACAACCTTGACAACAATGTTTTCCAGTAGTTCAGACTTCTTTTGTCTAAAATGATTTAAAATGATTTGAAATCCCTGAAAGAAGTCATGAAACTGAAAATTGAAATTGTACCCGAAAACGATTGTGGATATTAACAATCGAAACTTCCTGAAACTTGGTTTTGAAATGTTTGATTTTAATTTCTTTTTAATTGTTCAATTTTCAAAGCTTTGTTTTCATTTCATTTCATTGTCATTTCACTTTTGTGTTTTTGCTGAATATAATTGTTATTTTCAGCTATTTATTTTAATTTTCAATTTTGTTGGTTCTTTCAGGGATTTCAAATAATTGTATATCATTTTAGACAATAGAAATTCCAACTAATGAAATTCACCATGAAACTTCGTCAACCACCTTCAAACAATGTTTTCGTTTCAAATCAACGATATTTCCGAAAATTTGGTGTCTACTATTATGAAATGGTACTATATATAAGGAAATAGGTGAGGATGAATGTTTCACTTAGAATTTCGGCACACAACATTCTTCTTTCCCGTCTAGAGATTTGCTGACGAGATGAAATTATGATACTTCATGGTAGTCAAAACAGATTCAATCTAAGACGTAAATTTCGTACATGCGGTAGAACGAAACTCTTCTTGGTGTAACAAAATATTTGAAAGACTAGGAGAAGTTCGACTCTGACTCAATAGAGTCAGGCGATTAGGCGGGAGAAAATTTCGTTCGAGTTCTAATTAATCAAAGTGATAACAATGATTGCAAACGTGTCAGTTCACGAATTGCAACGGTTTGAAATAAATTAATCAAATAAGCTCAAACATCTATTAAATACACCTACCATTAAGTTTTTTATTGGGTATGAGTTCACAATTATTCCGCATCCAAAAGTGAAAACGGGGAATTTGAGAGATCATATGAAGAGCTTAGAGAAAATTCTCTAATGTTTTCTGTATATATACGTACGTCACCATCTATATTCGATTATATATTTGATCCCAAAGCGATTTTCTTTCTT